CCCCAGCGTGTCAGCATGTGCTGGGCTCCCAGGCAATGTACACTTATGAATTAGTGCAGTTGAAGAGGATCTTCTTCTGTGCCCAGTGGGGGCCCCAGAGTTGGCAGGCAACGGCGATGGGCCACATCTCTCTCCACATTATGGATGTGTATGGTGGGGCCTGCGGCGCGGCTGACCATGTGCCTGCGAACCAACGACCTTGGTAGAAGCCGCCGAAACCACTTCCGGACGCGTCGGTGAACAGTTCCAGGTCCGGAGACTTTGACCATGCGGGGTGGCGTAGGAGGGCGTTTCCGTTCAATAGTGGGAGGAAATCCTGCCACCATTTGATGTCGGTGAGAGCCTGCACAGCATAGCTTCTAAAATTCGGAGGTCATCACTTCGCAAATTTGCATAATGTACATGTACCCGGAGGTTTGCGGACAATCCGTCACTATCTCCTCCCAGGATAACCTGTTAAAGGTTGCGGACAATCCGTCACTATCTCCTCCCAGGATAACCTGTTAAAGGTTGCGGACAATCCGTCACTATCTCGTCCCAGGATAACCTGTTAAAGGCTGATTCGCTCGCATCTTCTGCTACATGTACTGTATCAGTGTGAGAAAGAACTTTGAAGAAGACTGGTTCGAATAATGTGTTGCCATAATTTCTTCCCCGCTTTTCATTGAAAGCACTGTCTGCCTTACCTCCCAAACCTTATACATGCAGATTAACCGCACTGTGACTGATCAGGTGCCTGGTACACAATTGTATAGCCTACATACTAGAAATGTGGCACAATCATGTAGTTATTGTCCTACCTTCGAAAGGATGCCACATTGCTGTAGCTTGAAGAGGACACCTGCGTGAGAGACCTTGTCGAAGGCTCCAACGATGTCAACTGCAAGTACGCATGCTGCGTCCCCGTGTCCGATAGAGGATGCCCAGGAGTGGTGTAGCGCAGTAAGAGCGTCGGCTGTACCCAGATTCCGTCTGAAGCCAAACTCATTCGCTGCGAGCAGTGAGTTACCCTCGAGGTTGTTCGTAATTTGCATGTTGATAATGGTCTCCATTCCCTTGGATATCACACGAAGGAGAGATAAGGGGCGGTAGTTCTTGAGCTGTGAGCGAGATGAGCGTTTATTCACAGGAACAACATTGGCAAGCTTCCAGGCCTGAGGTTGGTATCCATGCCGGAAGCACAATGAGAAAAGCTTGGTCAGGACCGGTGTGAGCACCGAAGCGCATTCTTTCCGGACACGGGGGAGATGCTGTCCGGCCCCGTGGCTTTCGACGCGTCGAGACGGCGCAGGAGGCGGTGAACATTCTGGATGCGGAAGTGGACGTGGGTGAGTGGAGGATGTGGGTGAGCAGGCGCTGGGGTTCCAAGGGAGGCACGATGTAGGTCCCTGTCACCCAGGCTGCACTCGCCAGCAAAGAAGTGACCAAAAGCAGTCAGCCTTCTCCTTGCTTGTGATGTGTTCCTTCCCTGCATTGTCGAGGAGGAGGGGGATGTCAGAGTTTCGGCCAAGACCGCATGCTCCTTTCACGTTGCACCACCATGCCTTGTCGCGAAGCGAGCTACAGGTGAGTCGGGCCCGAAGGTGCCGTTCCTTCTCCTGCCTGGAGTGTGGAAGTGTGGTGGTAGCGCGGGTAACAGAGTCGATGAAGGATTGCTTCTTGACGTCATTGCCGAGGTCGTGCCGTCATTTCCTCCATTCTCTGTCCTTGATACGCATCACTTGTGTGCACTCAGGGGTCCACCACTTGGGATCAGATGAGCGGATGACGAGAGTCTTATGGGGAATGAACTGGTCCATGCCTGCAGCGATGGTATTGGTGACTTGTAAGCAAGACAACTCTGGATCGTCCGTGATAATGGAGGCCCAAGGGACAGCCTTGAGGTGTGCTCTGAGTCGCCCCCAGTCAGCACACTCGTACCGCCACACAGTAGGCGTGGTGGCCTCTCCCCGGCATGGTGAAATCGTCGGGAATTGAGCTATCACAGTTCCATGATCTGAGTGTCCTAAAGGGGCAAGTACAGTGGTGCTGATGGGTTGTTGGAAAGTGGACATGATTAGGTCTAGTGTGTTGGCACCTCGAGTGGGCTCTCGGACATGTTGCGTGAGCTCTTGGGTGATACAAAGATCCTCGAGGGCATCCCCGGCCGGGGTTGACTTCGCGCTACCAAGCCAATCTGCACTATACAAGTTGAAATCCCCAGCGAGGATTACGTTCGGGGACAGCTCTTTGGCCTGATGTAGTGTATCGTCAAGTGAATCGATGAGACAGATGTCGGTGGGGCTACAGGAGCCTGGACGGTACACAGAGCCGATCACCAAGCTTGTGCCACCACGGAGGCGGACTTTAACCCAGAGTGTTTCCTGTTCTGCAGACTGGAGTTGGTCTAGATGAGCAGAAGCAAGGGTGGACTTGATCCACACAGCGACACCTCCTAAATGCTCGTTCCGGTCTCTGCGATATGGGACGCCGTATCCAGGGATAGACGAGTCAAGGCTAGTTATGGCATCAGCAGAGAATTTAGTGTCAGTGATAATTGCTACATCTATGTCGTGCTGGTTGAGTGCATGCTTCAGGTCATCCAGCTTGTTACGAAGGCTACAGGCATTAGTCACCAGCAGTTTGAGCCCTGTTGGAGAATTAGGGTCACCCAGTGCTGCCATCATTCTTTATCATTGGTCAGCTGGCATGATAGTTGCATCAAACTTGGTCTCAGTCACAACAGTGTGATGCCTGACAGTGTGGACAAATTCTCCAAATTTGTTTGCTAAGCTAAAAGCATTAGTCACCAGGAGGCGCAGTGACTGGGTCGAGGAGGTAGGTGGTGCTGTGGGTGATACATTATAGTTATAGTTCTGCATTTTTTATTTTAATTTTTTTTCAAGTCACGATTAGACTCTGGGAAGCGGACTAAATCGTGAGCCTGGAGCTAGATTTGTTGGTTTCTGGGAATCCTTCTTCTTCACCACCAGTTGCCAACTCTGGTGAGGACTCAGTGCTGGCATTCCTGCCTCGACGTTCAGGCATGAACCAAGTGTGGATCGCTTCGGTGTTGATGTTTGATGCCACTTCTGATAGGAGTCGCTCTGTCCGTTCTAGATCTCGCTCTGCAATGTCTACTTCGACGTCCGCGAGGGGAGTTCTGGGGTGTGCTGTCATGTTTGAAAGCGATCCCTGTGCGGACGACATGTCTGGCACAGTATCTGTCAGGTTGTTCAACGCTGAAGTAACCTCAGTAGTCCCCTCATCGACTTTCGTAGTTTTCAAATTCAAATCCGTTTCGAACACTTCAGTGCTGACTGCGGGTTCTCCAACATTTGACCCCACAGGAGTTGCACTCGTACTACATCCAATACTCGAGAGAGCACTCGGGCCGGTGCTGGGCCTGCTGCTGGAGCGTGCCGAGTCTGGCGACTCGTTTTGGACTCCGGTCTGTACGGTAAATTCACCAGGTTGCACTCCGACAGTTGCAGTTGCGCTTGTTCTGGTGTGCGCGGTTCGCTTGGCGTATGTCGTTCTTGTGGCGAGTTTGCAATCTGCAGCGATGTGTCCTGGTTGGGAGCATTTACGACAGGTTGCAGGCCGCTGGCCTTTGTAGCGTACACGAAACAAGTTGTTCGTAGATGTTTTCACATACGACGGGGCGAAGAGAGAATGTGGCGAAGCGGATACCAGTGGCATTAGGGAGGTTCCGGAGTACGATTTTTCGTGCCAAAATCCGTGGAGGCTCTACGGACTTTTTATTCGTCGTTTTCGAGCAGTGAAAAGTTCCGGGGTACGGAACTTATGTGTTTGCCGTCATTGCCTAGGTTACGATCGCAAACACGTCACATTCCCGCGCTATGCCTTTTTATTTTGAAAATTTGTACCGGAATAAAAACTTCCCGCGAAAAATCAATGTTTCTCGTACCAAATTTGTACGCGAAAAATCTTTCTGCACCCGATGGCGCAAAATCTCCATACAAAACATGGTTCGTATGAAAGCCAGTCCACACGGATTCTCCGTGCTGAAAAATCGTATGGAGCACGCCTGAAAAAATCCGTAGCGCCCATACGGATTTTGGCACGGAAAATAGTACCCCGGACCCTCTCTAATGGCGAGCCCTGACTTCGTCTTGACAAATCCATGGCGAAGAGGCCCAACGGCCGATCCAAAGACACCCAGGCTTTCGATAATAACGTCGTCCTGGACCCAGATGGGCACATCGTGAATTTGGATTTCCACGGAATCAGGCACCAGTTCAGTGACGCGCACTTCCACTGACATGAGATGGAAACCGTTTCGGCAAAGTCGTGCCAGAGTGTCTCGGGGATGAAACGTGGCCTTGCTGAAGTTACTGGTCAGCTGCACGAATATAAGGTCAGAGTAGCCATGTTCAATCAGGGCCTCAGCAACTTCGACGGTTTTCGTGTGCAGTGGAACGTGGAAAGTCTCCGTGTTCCTCTTTAGAACTTTCGGAGAGACCGAATTCCAACTGCGATTTTCACCGGACGTGGGCATTTCGGAACGCTCTAACTATCTACTACCTAATTTTAAACTATCCAGTCCCTACCCTGGTCCAGACCGGCCTGCTGCCGGCTGGCTCCTACAAAACCTGCGAAAAACTACGGAGCTCAAAAAAAAAGCTAACTGCCCTGTCTGTAGTCTACGTGTATCATGTTGTTGTAACCAGCACATTGCGGGTCGTTTGCTGTCAAAAGTGGTTGTGATGTCAATCATAGGTTCTGCATCTCGGAAAACTTTTGGTCTTAGCGCCGAGACTCTTTCCTCCAGCAATTTTCTTTTCTTTTTTTGCTCATGTCATTTGCCAACATAGAGCATATACTTCATAAATATTTCAGCTGCTTCTCTTTCCTCTCTGGTGTTTTCTCTGGCCCAGACTGTTCGATCTAGCGGGTGACACAGTTCCTCGTTGTCGCATGCAACTTCTTTGAAACAATAGTGAGTTCAACCCGAGAGTCCTCCCTGGCCTGGCTCGCAAGTTCCAGATCATTGCTCCATGTGTTCCTGTCGCTTTGCCATCTCCGGGCTTGATGTCCCTGCGTGTCTGCGTCCCCCTGCAGCTGCTCTACTTCAGCGTGTAAATGCCCTAGCTGCGTTTGGTAGGCCAGCTCCCGCAACTGGTACTCACGTCGCTCATCAGAAATGCTGGGAGTCCTTGATCCCTCCCTTGCAAGACGTTCGTTTGCAAATTCAATCGACGTATCGTTGTGGATCGTCCTGGTGTCTTCGCCAGCGTCTTCTTTCGCAGCTTCCTCCGTAAATTCCTGCATGAGCGCCGGTGACAAAGACTGGTCCAGTTGACTTCCTCTTTCTCGCCTTCTCTTATTTTTAGGCCTGCCAATGACAAGAAATGTCCTGCCTAGGACAGGAAATGCAGCGCTTCTTACCTCAGCCATCACCAGATCACGGTCTGTTCCAAGTAGCGTTCAAGGCACGATCGCGATCGACAGGCGCGTTTCGTGATCCAGGAAGCATCATTCTACGTCACAGAGCACGCAATCTCACCGCGCATCTTCCAAAAACTGTGATCGGGAATTCAGTCACTTTTGCATCAACAGTCACACAAACAATTATTGGTTGCGCAAGAAGAAGCTTGTCGTTTGGAGTGACAACTAATCACCGCTGCTATTCCTTGTCAGAGTCAACAATACACCTTCTTCTGCGGAGTTTGGCGTAGTGCCCAGGAAAGAGGCGAGCTTTCCTGGGCCGTATTTCAGCATGGTCGAGTGGAACAATTCAAAAAAGTTTATTTCAAGAAAACCCCGAAAGAAAGATGGGGGGGGCATGTCCTCAGCGCTAGAAGAGGTGTTCTACTATCTGCCGGTGTATAGTTCTGGCCAATTGAGGCCGTAGCTGGCTGTTTTCCCAGAGCTTGTAAATTGGCTATTTTCAAGAAAATCATTTGTCGCGTCGCGGGGTGATGGCCTTCGCCTTCTGGGATCCTAGCGTGGCTAAGCGGTACTGCGCCAGGAACTCTTCTAAGGTGAGGCAATGTTGGTTTGATGGAGTTTTGTTCATAGCTTGCTCATCTACGCTACGCTGTGGTGTGACTCGTTTCTCGACCCATAAATAATGTGATATTTCGGCCATTTTCGAGGGGTATACAAGTTTCAAGGTTCCCTTCAGAACTTCAAGGGCTTTGCACAATTGATCTACACCTGAAAGAGAACATACCTGCAAATTTTGACCGAAATCGGAGAGATCCACTTGCACACATACTTTGGTATTCTCAGGCATGCTCTCTTAAAACCCCGCGGGTCTCAGGCAACCCAAAAATGAAACTCATTGAAATGTCCTTCCAAGGTTTATCATGTATTGAGAGGGATTGAAGCAAACCATACCTAGGCTGTCCACTCTTGGTATGCTGAAAAATGCCACATGATTTGACGAACCTCTTAAAAATATTTTCTCCTACTAAGACGAATGTTTTTTGTCTTACTCATTATCAATCTCAAATGGGGTCAAGCCTGCTCACTTTCTGTCTTGCCAGGTTCAAAAGACCTCTCAGCTCTGCAGTCGCTTTGTCGAAGAAGATGAATTGTCTCCCCAGGCATGTGAATCTTTCCACAACGTCAACCACTTCCCCATTGCAGGGTGAATGCAGTGTGCATGTAGGGTTCATAGAGTTTTCATAATGAATTAGCAGGGTGTCACTAACTGAAACTGTCCTGTACTTCGATGTCGTGTTCAGGTTTCTCAAAAACAACAACATAACTGCGGGTCATCAACTTTGCAGAGCGTTTCCTCAAGGACGACCACAAATAGGGACAGTTTTACAAGACTTAAGCGAATATATACGGAGTAAGTGTTCTGTTGTCACATGGCGGATTCAAAGCAATACTGTAAACCGTGAAATTATTGCCATGGTCTAATTGCTGCGAAATTCGCGACCTCGCAGAAATTGCAAAATTTAGACAGCGCGAAAAGGAGATCCATGAAAGGTTTGGCAAGAATGCCACAGGTTTAGCAAGAATGCCATTCTGCAATCGCTAAATTAAAACCCTGCAAACCTGTCCGGATTCTGAAAACGTGAACTAAAAACGCCGTGAAAATTTCACGCTTTACAGTAATAGGGATCTTTAGGTTGACTTGGTTTATTGCTGGCTTTTTGGGATATATTTTACTTACTACCGTATAACTTTAGTGCTTTGCCTCATCTGTACAATGAGAACACATTTTATTTGGGAAAGCGATACTGTAAGGTCTTAATAATATTACGATCACTGATTTGTTCGTTTGAACGCTCTGGCAAGGAATTTTCGGGCCGGGTTTGATCCGCCTTTGGGAAAGTTGTTTTCCAGTGCTATCAGGTTCCGCCTCACGTTCTGTGTGCTTCACTAATGAGTCCACAAAGGACGAAACAGTCCTGTCTGCCAAGTGAGTATTATGATCACAATATAAGTGTAGAAAGGAAAGAAATATGGATACGAGTTGAGAGTAACTCTCCATCACTGCAACCAGATACTCTAATACAGTCAGAAAGTGCAACAACTAGGCACAAAACTGATAGAGTACTGAGACATTCAACGTCCTGACAATATAAGTAGTAATATTATGATCACATTATATTATAAGAGTTCATGATACTGTCTGCTTTGTAGTCGGTCGTTCATGTTATTTGCAGACTGCTTTCCCCATCCCCGGGTTTATGGTATTTGCAGACTGCTTTCCCGATCCCCGTGTTCATGGTATTTGCGTAATGCTTTCCCATCCCCGTGTTCATGGCATTTGCGGGCTGCTTTCCCGATCTCTGTGTTCATGGTATTTGCGGACTGCTTTCCCCATCCCCGTGTTCATGGAATTTGCGGACTGCTTTCCCGATTCCCGTGCTCATGGAATTTGCGGACTGCTTTCCCGATTCCCGTGTTCATGGAATTTGCGGACTGCTTTCCCGATTCCCGTGTTCATGGAATTTGCGGACTGCTTTCCCTATTCCCGTGTTCATGGAATTTGCGGACTGCTTTCCCGATTCCCGTATTCATGGAATTTGCGGACTGCTTTCCCGATTCCCGTGCTCATGGAATTTGCGGACTGCTTTCCCGATTCCCGTGTTCATGGAATTTGCGGACTGCTTTCCCGATTCCCGTGTTCATGGAATTTGCGGACTGCTTTCCCGATTCCCGTGCTCTGTGACTAGTATTTACTTCAAGTAACTAGTACCTGGATCAGACCATCGCGTGGCTGCGAGTGCGCAGCACACAATTTGACTCTGGTGCTAGAACAACGAGTAGTCTTAATTTCTGTGATGCCAGCTTTGCATAGTTGGCAGTTAGGTTAAATTATACCACTAAGCTGCACTGGGAGTCTGATTAGAATCTTCTGGCTGAAACAGCTTGCTGTCTACAGAATTGGGTATGCTGATTATCTAAATAATTTTGATTGGTTCCGGCAATCCCTTGGTTGTTTCAAATAAGTAATTGATGTGTATATGGCAACACTTGTTGTGTAGCTTTGGACTTCGTAGTTCTCGGCTGCAGTTTATTAGTAGAATAGTACTTCAAATATAATATGCATGTTTGCTCGTAATTGGAAAGGCTTCCTGTCTGAAACCTTTCCAAAATGGTACTCGATGTTCCAGTTTTGTGACACGAGAATGGCACGAGAATTAGTGTACCGCTGAGTATACCACTATACACGTGGTCAACACATTGTCGACACGTTGTTGATACTTTTTTGACACGTGACCCCGTCAGCGGTCTGCTTTGTGCCAATGCCACTCGGTAAACGTCGATGTCGCGTACGCGAAATAGTTGAGAGCTGCAGAAGTCGACGAAGACGAACGCGGAGGCCCCTTTCGGTACCCCTGACATGACGGGAAGGAGAACTGCAGAAGTCGAACGAGGAGGCCCTTTCCGTACCCCGTACAGCAAAGTGCCATTGATGCCATTGATGAAAGTCTTCTCAACCTGGAACCTGTAAACGCTGTCGCGTAGGCGGACTGAATGCGCAGGGCACCAGTAGCACGAGGTTCTTAGCTGTGGATGCAGTGGGGACGTTGGTCCAGACCATAGGCCGTGGTCGTCGATAATTGTACGTGTACTAGCAATACACTGCCACTGACGCAATGTGCAATGTACTGCACTATAGTAGTGGTGGTGTTACCCTATGATAATTGCTATGATCATGTGCCCTCCCGACCTCGTGCTACTGGTGCGTTCGGGTCCCGTCATTCGCGATTTAGATGGATCTGTTTGCATTTGGGTGGACATTGCTCCAGTTCTAATTTCTTGCTTTTACGACAGGGCAGCACCAGTAAAGGTTTTTCAGAACCGCTCACAGAGCGGTTTTTATATGGATTCAATAGACATGTACAATCATGTATGTCCATGACCTTTGACCCTCTGTACGTCTACGGCAACAATCTGTACAATGTCATGACTGTATCTTTTGAAAGGTTTTGCATTCCGATTTTCGGAATGTTGTTCGCTTGCCCAAAACGGCATTTTCAGTGTTTTGCAACCCGAAAATCGTATTGGACTTCGTTTCGAAGAGTTGCCATGCAAAACAAAATGAGCGTCAAGGGCGACAAAACCGAAAACTTTTTGCGATTGAGGCGTGCTGGTCCAACGGCAGCAGCGTGTGGTCTCTGACGAACTTCCTAATGATACTAGCAAACCTTGGCTCAGACGAGGCTAGAACTTGTGCAGTCTCCTAGTATCCCACCGAGCCGCGAACAAAGGGGTTGAGCACAAAATAGGAGTTGCCTGAGCAGGATCAAATCCATGTGCAGGTCAAAGCGAATTTGGATGCGGTTTGAAGACGAGGACGAACTGATGGTGGAGTGAGTGATCCAACAGCTGAAGGCAAGGTTGGCAACCTACTGTCTTGTACTGTCAGTAGGCTCCATGGCAGAGGAAGATGGAGTGTGAGAAGATCTGGTCAACATGGGGAGATCAGCGAGAGCAGCAAAAACCAAAACTACACACTTGGGAAATTTTTAATTTCAAAAAAATTATGATCAGCGAGAGCAGCAGAAAACTAAAATACACACATTTTTCAAATATGGGCTCCCAACCAGGAAAGAGCCGAGAATTATTATATTTTTCATATGGCTATGAATAGGATTAAGGCCGCAGACATCACGCAACTACGTTACTTTTTTGACATGTATTACTGTGTATTTTATAACAAAAATATTATTGAAAACCCAGAATCGATTTTCTCGTTCCTATCATCAGTGGGAAAAAAATACGGAACTAAGGATAAAGCAAAGAAACTGAAGTTAAGTACTTGTTACGTACCTCCGCCCGTCATTCTCACCTACGTCATTCTCACCTACGTCATTCTCACCTTTGGTTCCGTTTGCCTGGGTAGCTACTTGCGCCATAGCTACCCAGGCCAACTATATATTGCGTTGTTTCTACACACTCTCTCTGATTCATTGACACTCTGACTCATTGACACTCTGATTCATTGACTCTCTGATTCATTGACTCTCTGATTCATTGACACTCTGATTCATTGACTCTCTGACTCATTGACACTCTGATTCATTGACTCTCTGACTCATTGACTCTCTGATTCATTGACTCTCTGATTCATTGACACTCTGATTCATTGACTCTCTGACTCCTTGACTCTCTGATTCATTGACTCTCTGATTCATTGACTCTCTGATTCATTGACACTCTGATTCATTGACTCTCTGACTCATTGACTCTCTGATTCATTGACTCTCTGACTCATTGACTCTCTGATTCATTGATGCCCTCTCGGACTCATTGACACCCTCTCTGATTCATTCCGTTGTTCTGCTGCTTGTCGGAGTTAACATACTGTAAATAGAAAGGTGTTAGAAATAACATCAAGATACACAATTGCAATAAAACCACTAGAGGAAACGCAAAAAGGTAACAAATGTATTTTTGGAAAACCATGCAGTTTCGCTAAAACACTTCCGAAAGTTCGACTACTTTCTCGACTCCTGCCACCACATTCCGGAAATAATTCCGAAATTCGAAATGCAAAAACTCTTTAGTATTACAGTACAGTACTCGGCAGTTTTTCGAGTTTTATTTTGTTCAAGTAAATTGTTGACGGTTCTTTTTTTGTTAGGACTGTTTTGATATTTTCTGTTTCGCCTATTCTGCAGTTTCATGCGTATAAGTATCTCATTCCAGCCCGTCCCTCATTCTTCCTTCCATTTGGCAAATGCTGGTTTTTATACATTGTATAAATACTCAAAGCTGACCCATAAATGCTCTGCATTCGGAATCGTCACCTGTTGGGTATATTATATTGATGATGAGCTTAGTGGAGGTTTTGGCGAGCAAGCGGAGATCATGACTAAGCAGTGTTATAAGCGGGTAGTTTATTGTGATGCATGTCTTGCATCTCCTATTCATGGCGTTATTAGAGAAGTGTGATGATGATGGGCCGCAGCGGCTGCCGCAGCAGCCGTCCATGCTAGCCATATCTCTGTTGGGCCCACGTCCAATACTTGCAGTTCAATATCCAACGATTTAGCTTGTTTCTGTTCTTGCAGAACTCAATTCAACATTTTGTTCACAAAGCTGTGACAATGCACCAACAGGAGAGTTTACTTGCAACACTGGGTATAAATGTATCGGTGCTTTATGGAACTATACATGCCACAGTAAGTACCTACTGTTAGAACACCACTCTATACATGCCAAAGTAAGTATCTACTGTTAGAACACCACTCTATACATGCCAAAGTAAGTATCTACTGTTAGAACACCACTCTATACATGCCAAAGTAAGTACCTACTGTTAGAACACCCCTCTATACATGCCAAAGTAAGTATCTACTGTTAGAACACCACTCTATACATGCCAAAGTAAGTACCGACTGTTAGAACACCCCTCTATACATGCCAAAGTAAGTACCTACTGTTAGAACACCACTCTATACATGCCGAAGTAAGTATCTACTGTTAGAACACCACTCTATACATGCCAAAGTAAGTACCTACTGTTAGAACAACCCGTTGAAAAGTGAACAGATTTATCAGGGTCCCTAGACTTAGGACCTAAGTCGAATTGTGTTGGTCCCCCGTCTCCCCTACCACAAAGTTTAGACTTGGGGAGTGGTTTTAACCCTTTAGAGTTTCACACATACATGAACCGGTCGAAAACGACCGGTTCGACTGACGTACTTAGAACTATGCGGGATGCGTACTCGCTGGTGCTACGAAGCTGCCGCTATGGCCAAGTCTGCCTGACACCTCCGCGTTCCGCTTGAGTGCACACATGGCATGGGTTTACATTTGATTTTTTTTGTACTGGGCCACAGGAAGTGTTCGAAAGCTTCCGCCATGGCGCACAAGAATTTATCTGTTGACGAAGCGCTTGCCGCTGTGTTTTCTCATTCTGGATCCGCCGCGCACGATGAAGACTCTGATGGCGAGTCGTCAGGTGGCCTGCCATCAAGCGAAGAGTCAGAGCTAGACGATGCTCTCATCTACGACCATCCAGTTGAAGATTTGGTCTCTGACGGCAGCGCTGATGATGGCGAAGAAGAAGCTTCAGAAGAACCGCTTTCAGCTGGCTTGTCACGCTCCTCAGCTGACTCGAGTGACACATCAGCTGATTCCAGTGAAGAGGACGAGGCGCGCCCGCGACGCGAGAGCAGAGCTCCCACACGGCAGAGAGGACAAACTCGAGCTCCGCGTGCTCCTCGTGGCGGAGTTCGCGGAGTTCGCGCTGCAGGCGGCGGACGTGGAAGAGTTGTGCGCGGAGGTGCCGCAACCGCTCCTGTGCAGGGCGAAGACAATGTCGGCGACTGGGATAGTGATGATGAGTGTCCTGACCAGCCTGAGTTTCGTCCTGCCCGTGAACCTGGCTGCCATTTCCCAGCTGATTTTGCGCCTGTGAAGGAGTTGGATTTCTTTCAACTTTTTTTCACACTTGGCATCGTTCAAGCTATTGTGGAGTTTACTAATGATAATGCTGGTATACACATCCTGGAAAAACCATCCTATCAAGATGACCATGGCGCTTGGAAGCCCACGGACACAGCGGAAATTTATGCTCTACTTGGCCTGACAATTTACATGGGTATTGCTCGACTGCCACATCTATCTCACTACTGGAGCACATCTACTCTCTTTCATGGGCTGTGGGCACGGCATATGATCCCGACCTTTATTCGCTACAAAGCTCTGCTGTGTTTCCTCCACATTGTCGACCCCACTACTGAGGATGCGGCTGACAAGCTACGGAAAGTCCGCTTGGTGAATGATCATTTCCAGCAGAAGTGCCGGGAACTTTTTCAGCCTTTCCAAAGTATTGCGATCGATGAACGGATGGTCAAGTCAAAAGCACGCTTCGCATTCAAGCAGTACATCTCAAACAAGCCTGTTCGCTTTGGATTCAAAGTGTTTGCCCTTTGCGACAGTGCCCTGCACTATCTTTATAACTTCAAAATCTACACTGGCCGTGAACATGCCGGCCAAGTGGATCATGGCTTGGCACATAATATTGTTACAGAACTCCTTCAACCTCTGTCTGGCCAGGGATATAAGTTATACACTGACAATTTCTACACTTCTCCTCACCTGTTCTCTGACCTCTTTGAAAATCACAAAACTGCTGCTGCTGGAACCTGTCAGGTCAATCGACGGGGCTTCCCTGCTGTCCTCAAAAATACGAAAACGTTTCAGCGTAGAGCTGAAAGAGGGAAAATGCGGTTTGTACGCGGTGGAGACCTCCTTCACCTACAATGGATGGACAAACGTCCGGTGACAGTCATATCCACTATGCACAGCGCTGCTGACTATGTCAATGTTACAAGGAAGGTGAAAGAAAATAACATCTTGCGTGACCTGGAATTGAAGAAGCCAAAATTGATACATGACTACAATTTCGCTATGGGTGGAGTGGACCTGTTCGACCAGCACGTAGCGACGTACAGGGTGCTGCGGAAAACACGCAAGTACTGGAAGACTCTGTTTTTTGACTTTGTGGATGTAGCTGTGGTGAATTCATGGGTTCTCTTTCAGCAGTGGGTGGCTAAAAACCCAGGCGTCATCAAAATGCCGAAGGATTACAGTCAGCTTGACTATCGTCTTGCAGTTATCCGGCAGCTTGTGAACATCACTGACAAGACCAAGGTGCCCCTTCGAAAGCCTGGACCATCGACCAGCACGGCCAAGTCTCCGAAGAAGCACCATGGCATTGTCAGCACTGGTAAAAGGCGGGATTGCTCATACTGCCGAGATGCTGGAAGGAAAAGCGTGAAGAGTGTTTATGCCTGTTCCGTCTGCACAAATCGGAAAGGCAATCCGAAGCACTACTGCATCAAGAAGAAGCAGAATTGCTTCCAGGCCCACCTGGACGACCTGTAGATTGTGCAGAGTGCATCAGAGAGTAGAACAAACGGATTATCCCCATCAGGCTAACCAGTAGTTGACTGAGATGTTCAGAATACCGCATTTTTTGCTATCATCAAAATTCATTCGATTGGCATTCCATACATAATCGCTCTTTTTCAGTGCAGTTTTTTTTATCTGATGCAGTGTTCTTATAGCTTTCGGAAAAACAAAACTTGTACATACATGATATCAACAGGTAACGCGGTGTGTTATATCTCCCGTGGCATATGCATTCCGTATACTAAAAAGTCAAAACCTTAAAGGGTTAAACCACAGGAATGGCGCGACAAGGCGATGCGACATAGACGCATTCCTGCCACCTTGCAGGGTACACCTAGCGCAAAAGGAGTGCATTAAAAGGTTTAGCAATGATAAATGGACATGCTCAATCTCGCAACCGCAATCCTCGAGTGGGATTATCATTCATATGCTCTGATATACACAAGTAAGAGATTGGAAGCTTTGTTGCAACTCTGAGTTTTCACGTTTTACCACGATCATCAGGCAACTGATGGATCCAAAACGGGCAGCCAGAACATAAGGGAGAGCAAGGTGGGAAATTCTGAGGGGTATCATAAGCGACGCGTATCATAGCGCAAGAGTCAGGTGCAGGCGTGAAGTTGCCAAGTCGTCAGACTTGGAGCTATGCAGCAGTAGCTCCGGCGTGAATGATATAGAAGGGAGCTGGGGACAAATGCCAAATCCAAACATGCCCACACCATTACACACACATACACCCACACACATACACCCACACTCTCTCCCTTTTCACTCTCTCCCTTTTCACTCTCTCCCACCCACACCCTCTCCCTTTTCACTCTCTCCCTTTTCACTCTCTCCCACCCACACCCTCTCCCTTTTCACTCTCTCCCTTTTCACTCTCTCCCTTTGAAACGATTGCACGCATGCGTGGTCAGGCAATATTTACATGGCTGGAAAGTGTGCATTTCTTATGGCATGGAGATCGTGTTTGTAGCTGCTGAATGGGAAATGCATCAAACTGTTTCACCATTTCACGCGCCAATACCCAAACACCTTCATAGTTTTATCTACCTCGTAAGAGTGTGCGACGTCCGCACTTTTACATCCTGGCACTCAAACTGGTCTCCATGTCCGCTCCACTCTGCTACATTCCATGATCACCACATGGAACTCCCTGCCGGCCACAATAATTTGGATAATCCGAAACCCGAGGTGTATTTAGCCGGCACTTTACGCCCATTTCCACAAGTATAGATTGCCTACTGGAGATTTTCTCACTTTCTGAGTAACCCCCTTCTTTACAAGTACCGTTTTCGTTTGCTTCTACTTCTACCTCTTCGCAATCATCTCCTTCATCCGAAGAGAGCTTGTCTGAAAATACTGAAGTCTGTGTGCAAGTCGATCCCTACGATCTAACTGTAAAGTTACCGGTAAGTTCACTTTGGGGGTTAAACCGACTGTATAAAGCCCTTGAATGGGTTTCTGAAAGCAGTCTTGAAATTGGCATACTAGAACCCCACAAAATGGCCAAAAATCACTGTATTTATGGGTGCACAAGTGAGTCACGCCACAGCATACCCTAACAAGTTTCAACCAAAACTCCATCAAGCCAACCTTGCCTAACCTTAGAAGAGTACCTGGAGCAGTACCGCTTAGCCAGCATCCCAGAAGATGAGGGCCATCGCGCCATATAACGCCACAAATGATTGTCTTGAAAATAGCTGAATTACAAGCGCTGATAAAACAGCCAGCTACTTCCTGCAAGAACTATACACCGGCACTATGAGACTGGTCAATAACCAGAAAACATCAATGACAAGACAATACAGAAATTATACCAAGCGAAATTGGAAGAAACGGCACCTCAACTCCTCAAGGTGGCAGAAGCAAGCGCAAGACTCACGGCAGCATGCTCATCCATTCGCAAGGTGGCAACTAGAGTAGTGGGATACGCACTGAGCAGAAGCACGCCACCTTACGGTACATATGAGGTGGAAAAAATCCCAGGGTTGCAGAGGAATCTGCGTATGTGGATCTTGATAGCACACCAAACATGAATAGAAGAAATGAGCTGCGAGTGCAGCATAACAGAGTGCAGAAGGAAATCTGAATCCTGTCTGGACAGCTGGCGTCACAGCATCTTGATAGCTGCATCAGAGAGGTGGAGTGATTTTCGGCCATTTTGAGAGTATGCAAATTTCAAGGTTCCCTTCAAAGCCCCTTTCATGGGCTTTGCACAGTCGATCTACCCCCCAAAGGGAAGCCACCTGCAAATTTT